AAAAAAAAAAAAAAAAAAAGAAACCTTGCAACCAGCGAGAGTTCAGAGAACGACATCAGTGGAGGCGTGTCTGAGGAACGTGCAACGAAACTCATGATCGTTGGTGACTCGTACGTTTCAGGCTATATTTAGCCGGACGTCGCGTCGTCACGTCGCGTCCATGCGCAACGCATCGATCCTTGTTGCTCGTTAATATCGACTTAATTGCACGAATAATGTACTTTATACTTTACATCCGTCGATTAATTTCGTTTCTCGCCAATTTATCGAGCCGGAGCGATTTGCATTGACGTACGTAAATTATTTCGATTCTAATTATGCCATTACATGGTGTATAATCGGTTTGGAGAATGCCAAACAGTTCGAAGATCGAACACGTGTTATATACTTCAAGGAAGGAAATTAAGATATCTAATTAATTTTTCCAGATTCTAAGTATTCTTAACAATTATTTACATTCATATTTTTGATCTTGATTTTATAACTGTGATTCCTTGAATTTTTGTCGTTTAATCCTAGTGTCCACTAGTTGATTAAGATGGCGTGAAAAAGATCGAGTTTTTAAGTGATCGTGAATCTTTAAGATTTCCCAATTTTCAACATCATGGCCATCAAACAAATTTATCAGCAACTTCAGAGAGACGTTCGAATTTTTGCAATCTTTGAGAAAGTATCCTTACTTTCTCACCTGAGAAGTGATGTAAAAAGGTCTTCGGAAAAAGAAACGAGCTCAGAGTCGTCAAAGTGGAAGCTTCACGCTTGAAAATAAGGTCAACCGGATTATTATCCAATTTTTCATGGTGTTTGAGATACAGTTTGAGGTACAGATCATTTCTCATCGAATGTACCAATGTTTCCATCAATCTCTGAAACTTCCAAGTACATGTTCTTAAGGATTTCAAGATTCTCAAAATTCCAAAGGACAGAGCACATTCTCGAAAGTCTCGAATCTTTGTAATATATCTAGTTGTAACTGCACAAAAACTCTAATCTGTATCTTGTTTTCGAAAAAGAAGGATCAATGAAGAAAATTAGACTCTTAAATCAACCCCATAATATTCTCAAAGCGCGCAAAATAGGAAACGTCACGTTTAGTTCTCTCGGAATTCCAGGTATAGGAAAGAAGGATCAGTAAAAAGATTAGATTCTTAAGTAAGCTCGAAATATTCCCGAGTATTCTCAAAGGAAGTCACTTTGAATTTTCTCGAAATTTCAAATACGTGGGCCTTGTTTTCGAAAAAGAAGGATCAATGAAGAAAATTAGACTCTTAAATCAACCCCATAATATTCTCAAAGCGCGCAAAATAGGAAACGTCACGTTTAGTTCTCTCGGAATTCCAGGTATAGGAAAGAAGGATCAGTAAAAAGATTAGATTCTTAAGTAAGCTCGAAATATTCCCGAGTATTCTCAAAGGAAGTCACTTTGAATTTTCTCGAAATTTCAAATACGTGGGCCAC